GAAAAATATTTATATAGCGATACTTTAAAATTTATGATTTCTTTCTACTGTATTTTTTTTTTTTTTTGCATATACTCTATCGAATGGCCGAGCAGTCAAGGTGGTAGTCAACCGCTCTGGAGAACCCGGGTTCGAATCCGGACAGAGTCGATAAATCCTCAGGTATGTCGGGCCCCGTCCCTCACCATTCGGCAGCCCCATTGTGGGCCTGGCCGAACCCATAATGGGCTTGCTAAAAGAGGCCTTCTTAGTGCCCACAGGACGGAAAGAGTTTAAAAAAAAAAAGAAAACATATACTGTATATAAAACTATTAACTTACAAAAGAAATAAAAATAAAAAACGTTCTTCTATTGTTACGTAATTACATCAATATATTACAATAAAATTACTATAAAAATGTACCTATTTAATAACAATAATTTTTTTTCTATTTCTTATCTTTTTACTGACTTTTGAATATATATAAAATTTTAACTTGCATGTTATTACAATAGCTGCACTTTAAACAACCTTTAAAGTCCGGTAACAAAATTTTTTAATGTAAAGAATTTTTGACAAACGTTCTCGACCTTACCCAAGGTCTGCTTCAGGTCTTTTAAACTAATGAAATTCCAAATTGGAACGAGCAGAACAACTTTTCAAAATATTATTTTAAAAAAGAAAAATGGAACACAAACATAACGCTTTATAACAACAAAAATTAAATGGTGGTAAATATAAATTAACACCTACATAAAGTTAACACATATATAAAAAATTTAAGACATAACTTAATACCAATTAATAAAATTAAATCATGTCGGCACTCCCTAGTTTTTCGTAAAAGCATTGCCATGCATACGAGACTGTTTTTTCTGTCCTTAAAGTTAATAATTGTATGACCAACAGCTGGTTTTTATTATGTCCGTTAAGAAGAGTCTTTTTCTATACATATATAAAATTACAAATGTTATTCTCTGTTTGAAAAACTTTACGAATCAGCCAATTAAAAGTAATGTCGCAATGGATATTAAATAATTATTTGTTAAGTAAGCATTTATATGAATAAATATACGAGTTAAAATTCCATTTTTGTGACATTTGATAACATTTGGAGTTGTTAAATATTCTATTATTATAATAGCACCTTTATTAACACCAGTAGCAAATTTAGACCCTTCAGGATCCCTAGTCACAGAAGATTGAGGATCCCTAAACATAATTTTGGAATATTATTATTATTTAATATTTATTTGTTTATTTTTATGATATTCAATTGAAATAATTTAATTTTTTTCCCAATTTTGGAGCTTCCGAGATTTGGGTCAGGTGAGTAATCCGGCATTACAGTCGCTCCACGTGTGAAACCATGAGAGACTTCAAACAAGTGTGATATATGAAACTTTTTGATATCAACAAATTAAAATATAAATATAAGGCTATATTCTACAAATAGACAATATTATTTAAAATTATGGTAAACTATATACTGCAAATGAAGAAGCATTAACAATAAAGATAATACAGTTCCGTAAATGATTTTATTATTGCGATTTCAATTATGCGAACAATACTAGTATTTTCTAACGTTTATAATTCTACGAGTGCTAAAATTTTGTTTTAAATTTGGAATCATCGATATAAATGATGAACATACGCAATATATTAATAGTAATTTTACCATTAGTCATTTTAATGACTTTTTTTATGGGACAAAAAGCTAGATTTGAACAAAAGCAACATTTAATTGAAGAGAGAATTTTAAAAAATTCAAGAACTGACGTTTCAAAGCTTCCTTCTGCTATAGAAAATTATCAAAAGGACAAAGGATCATATTTTAACCAAAAATATGCAAATAAAAAACTTGAGCAAAATGAAGGAATGGTTACTACAGGAAAACCGGAGAAAAATGATGAAAATAAAACATCAAATGCTGAAACTGGTTTTAAAGTAGATGAAAAGCTTAATGAGCAACAAAAGAAGACCATAACGAAAAAAATTGCCCGTGCCATTTTAAAAGTATTTATTGCATTCGTTATAATATCGTTGGTACTTCTAGTTGCTACTGCACTCGTACAAATTATCTCTAAAATATTTTATGAGAAACTATCTAAACCAGAACAACACGAAGCGCCTCAACTACCAAAGTCGATCTTCTTCATTGAAATCGATTCATCTCTGCATGATGAAAGCGGAAAACAGAAAACTGAAGAGGAGCGTAAAGAAATAGTTTCGCCATAAGAAATACCAGGAAACGAAGATATTGAAGAAATATCTTCGTTATAATCTAAATTAATGTCACTAAATAGATAGGATTGCCATAATTGAGATGCTCAATAACAAAAAAACAAAAAGAAAATTAAGTACAGTATATTAACAACAAAATTATGATTTATTAGTAAATTTAGGTGTCAATTAACAATAATATAACGATATAAAATGTAGGCAATTTTTATCAATAAATGAATATAACGCTATATATATACAGATATATATTGTTTGTTCATTATGTCTGAACTTATATTTTTTTATCATCCTCTTTTCAAAAAATTTTACGCAACTGCTTTTACAATTGAATCTTATAAGCAATTCTGTTTTTATAGGTTCAACGGAACACCTATTTCTTTCATCAGTCCATGATAGAAAATGGGAGTTCTATAAATGATTATGCTTAAAATATATATCCTTTTAAATAAATTATCACTATCTAAAGTTATTTTATAATAATATTCCATTTATCGATGATAGTATATATATATATATTTTTTTTCAATCAAGTAAGTTAACAAGGTATTTTAAATATTCGTTACTAAACAACTTCTTTAAAAAGTTTGTTCATGTTTATATTAGAAATATCCAATAGTTCTACAATTTCAGCAATTATTTCAAAATTTGAGTTTTGTTGGACTACAAAATTGTAAATGTTCACTGTCATCCGTTGTCTGCCCGCCCTTCATCTCGAGAATGGTGTTAGATAGATAAAGTCAGTACCAGATATGGAAAGCTTAGTGACAGGAAGCCCTGAGTAACTGTATAAGAAATTCCTCTTTAGACCAGAAGTCACATTACTTCAATTCAAAAATTTTCTCCTGAACGGAGTAAGATACATAACCGGTATTACTTCAATGTTAACAGGAAAAGTTCGATTTACAGGGGCAAGGCACTACTAAAGTACATTGCGACGAAAAATTCTACATAAGACACAGCCTTGTTATAAACATTAATTTAAAAATTCGTTTTCAAATTTTTGCTTTTCATATAGAGTTAAATCTTTTATTTTTTGCACGATTTCATACCCGAAAAATTTATTCTCAATTCTAGAATTGAGTTGTTGTTTAAATTCTTATAGAATCGCGTACAAATCAATAACTGTAATAATATTTTTTATTAATCATTTTTATATTAAATTTAGAATTTTTATTTTAATGAAGATTTCTATTGTGTTCACAAAATCCTATGTGTGTTCAGAAATTGTCTTTGTGTCTCTTTTTAATCTTTTAAAATTAATTAAGTTTTGAACATAAAGATTTTTTCTTTTACAAATGTAAAGTAGGACAATTAAACTTTCATGTAGGATGTAGGACATCTATCGTAATTGTAGCACCGTCCTAACGAAAGTAGGACGCGTGGCAACCTACCAAAAATTGAAAAAGACGAGTATCTTCCTCAACTGAAGCCAAAACTGCACATATGATGGCAAAATTACAAAATTAGCATAGAAATCAGATATAGTTCTGAATCTTATGCGAGTGGTTCGTCTCAAAAAGAGGAAGAAGCCAAATTAGACACAATGCCAAGTTCTCTAAAAATCAAAATAGAAACAGTTTATACGAAGAAGAGACATGATTTTCTAAAATCTTCTGTGGTGTCATCCAGAGAAGAAAGCGTCTCGTCTTTATAAAGACGAACCAGGATGATAAAGCATTTCAAGACCTAAAAACAGAAAATTGATAATTCTAGTAAAGAATGTGGGATAGGAAAGCTGACAAAAAGTTTTCATTAAACGATCAAGCATACGATTTGTATACAGTTCATATCAACTTATCACCAGATCTCCAAAAAAAAAAAAAAAAAAATTCAAAAAAGATAGACGAATAAAATGGACCAAGAAAAAGAAATTTTTATACCAAATTACAGATTACATTTTTTCCTCTTTTCGATAAAGCTGAAACAATTTTATTAACTAGAACTATTGTTTACCACAATAAAATGTTCGAATCTACACAATATAAAAATTGGTATTTTTTTTAATTTTTAACATTCAAAATTTCATGAAGACATCATATAAGCACCGTATATTTTATGTTTAAACTGTTTTTGTACTTAAATATTTTCATTTATTTATTATGATTTGAGTATACTTTAAGAAACATCAGAAAATATATTCATATCTCGTTTTAGATATTTATTCAAGTGTACTGAAAAAAAAAAATAAATATTTATAACTGAAAACCAAAAACATTTTTTACATTACATTAAAATTTATTGTTATATTACATTGTTATATTAAATAATATTCTTAAGGAGTTGTT